CGCCGCGGAGCTGCCCATCTTCCCGCAGCTGGTAAGCGCCCCGGGAGCCGGGGCTAGGGGTTTGGGGCTGGGGCGCAGGACGAGGTGAGCGCGCGGGAGTAGACTATCAGGGCCCGGGCCGGGAGGGTGGAAGCGGCGACCGCCAGAACTCAATCTCGCTCCCTCCGCGCGTGTCTCTTGCTTCCCCATGTGCGTACAGGGCACGCAGTATGAGCTGAAGGACAGCCCGGGGGTGCAGCATCCGGCCGCGGCCACCGCGTTTCCACACCCGCACCCCGCCTTCTACCCGTATGGCCAGTACCAGTTCGGGGACCCGTCCCGTCCCAAGAACGCCACCCGAGAGAGCACTAGCACGCTCAAGGCCTGGCTCAACGAGCACCGCAAGAACCCCTACCCCACCAAGGGCGAGAAGATCATGCTGGCCATTATCACCAAGATGACCCTCACCCAGGTGTCCACCTGGTTCGCCAACGCGCGCCGGCGCCTCAAGAAGGAAAACAAGATGACTTGGGCGCCCCGCAGTCGCACTGACGAGGAGGGCAACGCTTACGGGAGCGAGCGTGAGGAGGAAGACGAGGAGGAGGATGAAGAAGACAGCAAACGCGAACTGGACCTGGAGGAGGAGGAGCTCGCGGGGGAGGAGGAGGACACCGGGGGCGAATGCCTGGCGGACGACGATGAGGATGAGGAGATCGATTTGGAGAACTTGGACGGCGCGGCCGCCGGGCCTGAGCTGGCCCTGGCTGGGGCGGCGCACAGGGACGACGACCTCGGCCTGGGACCCATTTCAGACTCCAAGAATAGTGACTCGGACGACAGCTCCGAGGGCTTGGAGGAGCGTCCACTGCCCGTCCTGAGTCTGGCCCCAGCGCCACCGCCGATGGCCGCGGCTCCGCCATCTCCGCCCTCGCCCCCAGCGGGCCTGGACCCCTGCGCTCCTGCACCAGCGCCCGCTTCCGCCCTGCAGAAACCCAAGATCTGGTCCCTGGCCGAGACGGCCACAAGCCCGGACAACCCGCGCCGTTCGCCCCCGGGCGCGGGGGGTTCTCCCCCCGGAGCAGCGGTCGCGCCCCGCTCTGCAGCTCTCTCCGGCCGCCGCCGCGGCTCACAGACTCGTCTCGGCGCCGCTGGGCAAGTTCCCCGCTTGGACCAACCGGCCGTTCCCAGGTCCGCCGGCCGGCCCACGCCCGCACCCGCTCTCCCTGCTCGGCTCGGCCCCTCCACACCTGCTGGGACTTCCCGGAGCCGCGGGCCACCCTGCCGCCGCCGCCGCCTTCTCTCGGTCGGCGGAGCCCGAAGGCGGAACAGGTGACTGCTGAGTGCAGGATGCGAAGGGAGGGGGCGAGTCTGGGGGTCGTGCCCGGGCAGGCGGAGACTGGCAGGTCCCCGGGAGCGCAGGGTGCTTACCACTCGGCGCCTGCCTCCCGCGGCCATGGGTCCCGGAATGGAGACTCTAAAGGCCCTGCTTTTTCTTCCCCGCTTCCCACAGATCGCTGTAGTGCCTTGGAAGTGGAGAAAAAGTTACTCAAGACAGCTTTCCAGCCGGTGCCCAGGCGGTAAGAGACCCCGAGCTGGGGTAGGGTGGTGGGAACGGCAGGCGGGGGAAGGAAAGAATGCGGAGGAAACTCGGGCTTCTGCCCCCGGGGGAACACAGCTAGGTCGAGCTTTTAAAAGGGGGCGAAACACACTCCAACGTTGTCCCCGGGGGCCCAGAGATGGCTCGACAGCCCCAGTCCAGGCACTCTCAGGCCAGGCCCTTGGAACGGGCAGCGGTTCTGTGAAGCCCACCTTCTTCCAGCCTCGGACTTCAAGGTCCTCCCGCCCATCTTACAGTTAAACCGGAAGACCAACATCTACAGCTGGACCTCATTTCACATTGAGACGCCTCCCTGCCCCCGGCCTCAGCCCTGGGTTGGGTCTCCCAGTCCTAGGCAGCTTCGGTGCCCCTCACTCTCACTTCCTTTGCTACCACTGCCTCTCTCTTCCAGGCCCCAGAACCACCTGGACGCAGCTCTGGTCTTGTCGGCTCTCTCCTCATCCTAGTCCTTTTTAAAAATTTTTTAAATCATTGTAATAATTGTAAAAAAATCGCTCTGTATAGTTATGACTTGTAAGCATGTCCGTGTACGAATACCTAAAAAGAAAACTAAACCAAAAAAAGAAAGAAAAAGAAATAAAGCAAGTCCCCCTCAGTCCTCCCCCAGTTGCTTCTGTACCCCGCATTAGCTGAGTGTGAGATTTGTTTGTTCGGTTGATTTTGGGGGGGTGGAGTTTCAGTAAGAATAAGTGTGTCTGACTTTTTTGTATATAAAGGAAAATGTATATATGTGTGAACCAAATTGTACAAGAAAGTATCTATTTTTGGCTAAATAAATGAGCTGTTGCCACTTTGACTATACCCCGCCTGTCCGCTCCCAGAGGGATCTGTTTGGTGTTTTTTGTTTTGTTTTGCCTTCCTCCACCATGTTGGAAGAGTCCCCCGAACCAGCGGTGGGAAAAAAGGCGAGGCGAGTCAGGGCCGTGTGATCAGAGCAGAGCACAGGTACAGGAGACACAGAGCAGAGCAGAGGTAAAGTGGCCAGGCTTGGGCTGCTGCTGGAGGAAAGGTGGTGGGAGAAGTATTCGGGGTGCCTGAAAGAAAGTGCGAAGGAGACAGGTGGAAAATGGGGCAAGATTCCCTACAAGGAGCTGTGAAACTGGGCCCAACCCACCGGTCCCCTGGAGTAGCACAGTGTCTTGCGGCCTCCTCTGATGACACAGCAGAAAGACTCAGAGAAGGATCTGGACGCCCCCCACCCCCACCAGTTCTTAGGCACAATTGAGGCTTTCTCCCTCTTACATGAGGGGTTGTGCCAGCTCAGCTTCAGGCCTCCTTCCAACCACCTTGCACCCCCAGACTCCTCCTTATAGAGGTAGGGATGTGGGGTGGCAGTGAGTAGAGGTGGGTATGGAGAAGCAGGGAACCTAGAGGTGCACATCATTTCCTCTAGGTGACTATGCCCAGCCCGAATTACGAGTCGGGGGGACCCGGGTCCGGAAGGCATCAGTGCATCTTGGCACCCCAGTGGATTTTCCCCAAGTGCCCTTGGAAGGGCAGCTTTCTGAGGTCCTGGTGCGGGGAAGAGGCAAGTAGAGGGTGTTAGGGTTGCTGCAGGGTCCAGCCGGGATTTCGGATCCAGGCAGGCCAGGGGCAGGCGGGCCTGGGGAGGGAGCCGGGAAATTTGGGGCTGGAGCTCCCTCTACAGGACAAAAGGGCCGCTCAGCGCCTGCCTCAGCGGCCTCTCCAGCCAGGCCAGGCTTTGCGTCCCCTCTGCGCCCTCCTTTTCCCTCTTGCTGTCAGCCAGTCTTGCCCAACTTTGACTTAAAGTTGGAAGGATGCTGGAAGAGTGACGCCTTAGGGTACGAAGTGAGGTTATCATTTTTTGCATCTCCCTCCCCACGTTAAGTTAGTAAATTTATAGGACGGCCAGGCTCCAGGTATTTGCCCTGCATAGTGGGGTCTGTGACAACCTCACAGGTCTCTGGGGAGGTTTGGGGAGAGCTTGCACAAATGAAGTCACGGAACAAGGCACCAAGTCATAGTGTACACCCTCAAGGTGAAGTTCAATGGGAGCGGAGGGAGTTGGGCAAGGACCCATTCATTCAGGCACAGCCGCCAGCGCTGAGTCCCAGGGACCCCCCATGAGGGTGGGGTTGTCTGGGTGGGGTGGGGACCCAGGGCAGGTGGAAAGGAGGGTCTGTCAGCCAGCCTGTCAGTCCGTGGCCCTTGGGGCTCACTGAGGGCTGGTGGAACAGAGGCAGACACCCAGCAAAGACTTTGCCAACCTGGGGCTCACTCCTGTAGCCCCTTCGTGGGAGGCCAGCGCCATCTCAGGTTTCCTCAGGCTCCCTCCCCAGTGGCAGGAGCAGCCTGTGGTTCAGCCCTGGCCCTGGGCACAGCGCCTCAATGTGGAACCGGCTTCAACTGCCTGGGCCTTGAACCTCAGAGGCCCAGCCTCAGGACCTGGGCAGAGGCCTCTGGTTAACCGGAGTGTCTTTCCAGGGACAACAGCCTGATAGGCCTTCAGCTAGTGCCTCACAAACATCATCTAGCACAGACGGAGTTCCCCCATCTGCATCCTGTGACATTCTGGGCAGACAGTTAATTTCTCTGCACCCTATAACTCATCTGCAAAAAAGGGCATGACACCTCCATGGCAGAGGTGGTTGTGAGGATGAGAGACAAGACACACCCAGCGCTGGCATGTAGTTGGAGGAATAAATAGCCCTGGTCTCATTATCATAGTCCAGAATCTCAGACCCTACTCCTGAAACTCCTGGCAAGATTCTGCCCCACTCCCTCCCATTAGCCACAGAAGCCAGGTGTCTGCATTCAGGCCTCTCAAGACCCAGCTGGACCCAGGTAGAAAGGACCCTCGCCAGGCAGGAGTGCAGCAGGGAGAGACAGTTACAGCAGAAGTCAGGCAACCTTCCCACTCTGAACATCCACCAAGAGGGGAGAATCTGCATCCATCTGTTCATAGAAAGATGGGCATGTAGAGGCCAGGCCCAGCCTGGAAGGGTCTGCTCCTCTGCCCCTATATCTCCTGGGAAAACCCTGGGGTTTGGTCAGCATTTCAGCCCATCTGATTCTGGGGATAATGGTCCTTGGAGGGGGCCAATCGTGCCTCACTGGAAGGGCAGCGTGCGTGGTCCCGGAGGAGAGATGAGAGGCACCTGGCAGAGGCTCCCATGTGTTTGTGTCTTCCCTATCCCGTAGAACACATGGCCCCTTCCAGCGGCCCCAAGTTGACCCAGATAATGTGATCAAAAAAGAAAGGAACCCCATAAGCTTTTCAGTTAAAAAGGGGTAGAGGAGACCCCTTCTTTGCAACATTTCCATTTCACCAGGGAACAGATGCTTCCTCTCAAGGCCTCCTCCCTGCATCCTTCCCATCGCCTTCTTTTCAGGGATTCTACAGTCTGCCTCTGCCCTTTATTGTCTGGCCCTAAAATTTAAAAAGGAAAATAGAAGCTAGGGAAGAGAGGGAGAGAAAAAAAAGGGAGGCAGAGAGAGGAGAGAGAATATGTGGGAATCTCATCCTTGGTCCTGATTAAGCTTCAATTAGAAATAAAATGTCAATCACTCTGCCTGGAAGGGGTTCCTGCTGTCGGGGCTGGTTATGCAAAGCACTCCGAGGTGTGTAGGGATAATCAATTAGGTCAGAGGAAGGAGTAGATGTCACTGCTTCCCTCATTATCTGAATGGAGCTGGAGGTAGGGGTGCTTCACCAGGCCAGGGAGCCAGAGGAGAATGAAATTATCTCCCTAAGTGATGGCCCGCCTCTGGGACTGACACATGCATGGGTTCCAGATGAATTTCTTTGGAGTGGAATATACAGCGAGGAGGGAGCGGGGTCCAGTCTGGAGGCAGCATGCAAGGGCCAGGGGGCTAGTGCAGCAGAGGCTTTGAGGAGAGCGAGGGACTCACCTGGGCTGCATTCTCTGGGCCCCTGGTTGGCAGGCAGGGCCGAAGGGTCTACTGTCTTAGGCCTCCATTCTAGAAGGTTAGTGAATGCTTGGGTAGGAACTGGATGTCAGATGTCTTCACCGGTTTGTAGGGAGTTTCGGGAACTCGCTTCGGGCCTAATTATTTGTCTCCTTCTGGAAATGTCCCCTGCGTCCTGTAATTCCTGGTTGTATGTACCCATCCCCTCCATCAAATGAAAATGGGCAATTGCGGGTGTGTAAAAGTTGCGTCTGTGGTTAGAGCCACTGCCCACTTGAGTAGGGGCAAGCCGCATCCTCTCTCAGGGTCCCACCTCCACCACGTGCAATTTGGAGATTGGATTAGATGAAACTTTCTGACAAGTCCAACTCAACAGTTAGGCATGAAGGAAAGAAGTGTGGGTCCAAAGATAATTATGGGGGGTGAAACGGCCCATCTTGATCCTGACTGGCCACTGTCATCTGATCCAGCCAGCCAACCTGACCACATTAAAAATGTCCATCTATTGTGGGACCAACCTAGCTTTGAAGCAGCTGCTGCTTCCCCGTGAACAGAAGCTCCAGCCCCTCCGAAGGCCATCCTGATGGTCTGGATGGAAATCCCCACAAAGCATCTCTTCCTGAGGGTGGCGGGGATGAGCACTCAGGGCAAGAGACCTGGAAGAGGTCCTAAGAGCGGGTCTCAACCAGGCGATCCTCCGCTTTCGGGACCGATGGCAATGTCTAGAGACCCTTCCAGTTGTGACTGGGTAGGGGTGCCACAAGCAGCTCATGGGTGGAGACCAGGGATGCTGCTAGAAGTCCTACAAGGCATAGGCCAGGGCCCCGCAACAAAGAATTATCCAGTCCAGAATGTCAGCAGGGCCGAGGTTGAGAAACTGTGGAGCTGAGCGAGGGAAGAGGTATCTGGGGCAATCCCAGCAAGGCATTTTCTCCCAGAAACTCCAGCCTTGTAGAGAGAAACATTAAAGCAGGGCGCTAAGTGGGACGTTTTTTGCTCTTTAAGAACTGTTGGCCCTGGAAGAGGGAAGTAGGGGTGAGGGAGCGCAAACAGGAAACTGCCAGCCTGGGGAAAGAGCAAGCAGGTTTCAGCTCAGCCTGGTGCCCAGGGGAGCCCCTGGGGATGGGACCATCTCAGCCCAGAGGGACAGAGTCAGCCCCAGAGAGGATATGTGTCTGGAAAGTTGGGGCCTTTCTCCCTGGATATTTCTATCAGGAGCAGGTTACTGGAACGTTATAGACGAAAGCTCAACTCCTGTGGTTTTGCCTCATAATTATTGCCACCTCCTAACTGCTGTCAGGCCTACTGTGCACAGAAGTGCATCTATTTATTTATCTTTTACCCGGGACTGTGCGCATGCGTGTGCCTGCACGCGCGCGCGTGTGTATGTGTGTGTCCCATGTCGGGGAGCAGGAGCGGGCCGATGGCAGGGTACGGTCTTACTCTGGGGCCGGCCGTCGAGGACGGGAAGGCGGTGGCTTCAAGGCTTTTGTCCTGCCTCCTCTCACCGGTCCAGGCCGCTAACAAGTGAGCCCGCAGCCCTTGGGGCCTTTGGAGCGCACTCATCTAAGGGACTGAGCCCTTCTCAGACGCTCAGATTTATTTTGCCAAAGTTACAGGGCCATTATGGAAATGCGCCCTTTGAAGCTGGGCTGGTTTCTCTTTATTTCCCTTTCCCTGACAAAGCAGAGCTTCCCTGCCTCTTGTGGGCTTTATTTTTTTCGCCCCCTCCCTCTCTCTGTCCCTTTCCTTTTCCCCTCTCTTTTTTTTTTTCCCTGATAATTATGAAATAGCGGGAGTTTCCAGGGGTAATTTGAAAAAATCTTTTAAACGGTGATTAAAAAATATTTATAAATTAAAAGAAGATGACTAGTATTTAAATATTATGTTGGGGTTTTTTTTAAGTGGGA